AATTATTCCTTCAATAATGAATTAAAACATACAAACAATTAATATGATAAGAATAAGGAAAATACATATTAGTTTTCATCTACTTATATATGATAAAATGATATGTTAAATCAATCTTATATATCATATATTATATATATGTTATATATTATATATCAAATTATAGATATTATATGTATGAATGAAAAGAAATATATAATATCATTATGATAATTGATATATTCATTGATATTTCAATTTTAATTTGTAAAATTTCAGAAATATTTTTTTTTCATATTTACGTATAAAATACAATATATAAATTGATATTTGAGTAAATAATTAAAACGCTATATTTTAGAATTAAATTTACAAAAATTTAAATTTATTATGAAAGGATCTATTTAGATTGTTTTTTTTTTAAAAAGTTATAGATTTTGATTTTAATCTTTATTAATTGTTAATATCTAAGGAACAAATAAAAATAAAATTTTATTCTTTTATTTGAAGTTTTATTTTAATATTCAATATAAATTATAATTATTATCTTTAATGCATTTTCTTACTTGTTTAATTTATTTTATTTAATATATTCAGAAAATAAATGACTTCTTTATTTAATATATTATTTATATAAATTCTAAATTTTCAGATTTATAGTTCATTATACTATTAAGATTAATACAATAGAATATAATAATTAATTATAATAAAGTAAACTTTGATTTGAAGATAAATTTGCATTACTAATTGAAAAGTTATATTATTTTATTTTTATTATATGAAATATTTAATATAATATGAAACATTTGATTAATAAAGAAAACTATATTTACCATAATATATATTATAATAAATTTTCCTTTCAACATATTCGTTTACATATATATATATATATATATATTAAAATTAACATATATATATAAAACATATATTTTAAATAAATAAAAGTATTTATACATAAATTAAAATGTTAATTTATATATTTTCAACATGTATGTAGATAATATAAACTAACTTTTTTATATAAAAATTATAATAAAATTTTATATAAAATAAATTGATAAAACTAATAAAAAAATGTAAAAGATTCAAGATAAAAACTGAAGGAATATTATAATTCTATTTAATTAAAAGTTCTTTATTTAATACATACATATTTCATCAATGAATAAGAAACAATATAGTAATATTATTGAGCTTAATTTTAAAATCCTTAACTGGTTATTTATATTTTAGAAAAATAACCTAAGACTTTTTAAATATAAAATCTATTAATAAATATAAGTAAAATAATATATATATATATAAAGAATATAATTTTTTAATACAAAAATTCATTTCAATTCTTATATAACATATATTATTTTTAAGAATTATCTTCTATCACATTACAATCAATATAAATTTTCATACATATAATTACTTTAAAAATACTCATTTTCTTTCTTATTATAATGATAGTTTTATACAAATAATATTATATTAACGAATAACTATAAATTTAATTGCGAAAAACATATAATACGAAATATATTGACTAGGAAAATTTCTTTGTACTACAATTTATAAACTAGCATACATCAATATTTTTCGTGACCATTCGAAAAATTTCGAGTACTTTCGCAAAATTAATTTAAAAAGTGCTACGTGAAGAAAATTATAGTGTAAAATATTATGATTATTTTTTTTTTTGATTTGAAAGATAAATGTTTATATTAAAAGTATTATGAATTATATTTATTTCTTATTTTATATTAATTTGAATCTCTTACCTGTATTTTTATATATCAATAATTATAATCTGTTATTTTTATTGTGTTTTTTATGGTTAATAGCTACTTTTCGCAATTATAGATTTTTATATAATTTTTAATCTCCTTAATATAATTTATATTTCTTTTTTTTTTTTTCTTCAATACTTATTAAAATTACTTATTAAAATTCTATTTAAATAAGTATGAATATACTATTCTAAAATTATAAATATTTATGACTTTTCTAGCAAATTAATTTTATGAAATATATAGATATAGTATCAATTAATCGTTAATTTCATCAATAACAAAGTATTCTCAAACTTACTTTTTTCATATTTTCAATATCTTGATCATTATTTAAAGTTTTTGAATTATTTTTCTAAAAAACATCAAATTGCTATATTATTTATTTATTAATAAAAATATTCAATTTTAATAAAAAATTAATAATTTATAAATAATGATTAATTAATATTTTCAATCAATAATAAATGAATGATTATTAATATTTATAAATATAGTAAAACATCGATTATATAATATTTCATTATTCAAATAATTTATAAAATGAATCATGTATGTATGTATAATTAATGTATAATTATAATATACATTGTTTATATATATACTTATATATATACTATAATTATAATTATATACTATTTCTAGTATCCTAGATTGATATAAATTAATTTAATTTTTATATTAATATATTTTCTTATTAAATGTCTTTCTATTTAATAAACATCCATATTTGAAAAGTATTTATTAATATTTGAAAATTACTTTAAAAAAATTTAAAATTTTTTTAATTGTTTTTATTCATAAAATTAATTCTTCTTAATTGATTATTCGAATAAATTTGTTTCATCAATCAATTAAATCAATTATTGAACGATTTATTGCTCTCATAATAAGAATAAGAATCAATTAATTTTATCAATAATATGCATTATCTGATATGTATCTTGTGCTCCTAAGATTATTTTCGAAACTACGTTTGATAAGGAATTTTATAATGCTGAAGTGGTACAATCTCGTTGCTAGCCGTTTGCATTTGATTGTACATACGGCAAGAATAAATTTCAATTACATCTTTCGGGAACGAGAGCCACTTTCCAAAAACAATTTCGAACACCATTACGACATCCCTCGAGCACACCCGGTAACCCCTTTTCTATTAATACAAGCGTTTCTCGAGATCCTCTGTAGTACGCCTCTGTGACTTCGCGAGATTTGGAATATTGTAAGGAAAATGCAAATATCGTTCCGAAGTTTGGCTAAGGAGATAGAAGACGCGTATGCGCCGCCTATACGTGTCTCTCCGGCCGTGGTCGTGGAGGTATCCGGCTTGTTTGTATTCCGTATTCGGCCTGTCTATAGGGAAATTGCGGTGTTCTCGACCGTCGAAATCCATGAACACACCCCTGCCCTCTGATCGTTCTCGTTTGCTCTGTGTGCTGCCGTCTCATTAACCCTTTCGATCTGACCGGAGGACTTACTCTTGACTAACAGGTTCAATCTGCGTGGCTGTAGTAAATTGCTCGCTAAATTAAATTAGCCGCTTCAAAAACTTGACACCATGGACACATCGTGATTTCATTGCTATTTAAACGCTGTTTTATGGGCGATCCTTTCAGTTGGATAGCTATACAGAAATACATTTGATAACTGGGACTTTTTATGACTTTAAATAGTTAATGGAATTAATATATAAATTAGTGGAATTAATAATAGAAGAAATAGAAAAAAAAGTGACAAGGAATAATTTTGTATTGTTTGATTCTATGATCTGTTAAAGTTACAAAATTTAATTGCGTTTTCTTTCTCATTAAATGAAATTTTACAATTTTTTTTTTTTTTTTTTACATAATTGATTTTTCGTATGATTTTGTATATAAAAAATTTTTAGGAAAATCATTAGATTTGATATGATTAAAACTTAAGATTTTTCGAAATGTTTCATTTAATTTTGAATATTTTTAACAAATATTCAAACATTCCATATATTTATATTTTTTTATTTATTACATCGCTTTCTAATATAACTTAAGATTACAATAATAATAAAATAATATAAATTAATGTAAATATTTATTTTATTATTATTATATTTTATTATTTTATTATTATTTTATTATTATATTTTATTAATCAATAAATTTACATGATCTGATATCTTTAATTTGATATCTTAATTATTACTTAGCTTAAACTCTCTTGAATTTTTCTCCTTAAAATTAAAGAATAAAGTATATTTTTTAAGAAACTAAAATACTTTTTAAATGAGAATATCATATTAAAATCATTTTCGAAATTTTAATTTTTAGTTAAAAATCTTAAATGATTCATACTATACTATATATGTATATATAGATACTTTCAGTTAAAATTAATATTAATTTATATTGAGAAGAAACATGATTTCTAAATATTATATAAAAGTATATTTTTATAGGAAATTGATAGAATATGGAACTTAAACAAAATTTTATTTTGTTATTATAATATATTTTATAAGCATATTTTTTATTTTGCTATATTATAATATGTATATGTTTAAATAATTGTAAGATTAAATATTTATTATTAATAATTAAAATATTTAATTGATTTTTATATTCCATAATTAAAATAAAAATTATAGAGATGAGAAGGATATAGGAAAATATATAACATGAAATATAACATGAAAATAAATAATATTTCAATTTCATAGCAATTTCAGATTTTATAATTATAATTTAAAAGATCTGTTGAAAAACTATAGCTCATTTTTTATTAAAATATCTATATTTTTTCTATTTAATTTGTTGGAATTTTCATAAATCTTTTTAAAGTTTTAAAATTTGATAAAATTATAAAATAATATTTTTAAGAAACAAATTAAAAATTAAAAAATTTAATTACAAATTAAAATTTGAATTTTGATCTTATTTATGAATGAAAAGACATATCATCAGAATTTTTAAAAATCTCTTTAAAATTTTAAAATTTGTTAGCATTACAAAATATTATTTGTAGAAAAATAAAAAATTAAAATTAAAATTTTTATCTTATTTAATTTTTTTATGAAATGAAATAATAATTTAGTTTTATTGAACGTTTTAAATATATTAAAATATTCATCATATGATAAAATATATAACATATAGATAAAATATACATCATACAATATAATAACGATAGAATATTTATCTCAATATTCTATCGTTTATGTAGGATTTCTAATAATAAATAATATATAATATATTTTTGTAGGTTGGCTGGCTAAAAGTGGATAGTAAGGCAATTCAGGCAATCCACGATCACGTAATAACTCACAACAACAGAGTCTCGGTATCTCATAGTGATCATACCATGTGGAATCTTCATATAAAGAATATACAACAAGAAGACGAAGGACTCTATATGTGCCAGATTAATACGGATCCAATGAAAAGTCAAGTAAGTTCATACTATTATTATTTCAAAATTATTTTAAATTTTAAATTATTAAATATTACAATAGATTTTTTGGTTTTTCTAATTTCAAAGATTTATGATAATTAATGGCAAAAATAATGAATAATAGTTTATAATTAATTAGTTTTATTGTTTTATTGTATTTGAAATATTAAAAAAAATTTAAATTTATTAAATAATTATAAATAATTTATTAAACGTTATGAAAAATTAATATTCTTTAATTAAAATTTTAATTTTAAATATTATTGAAATAAAAAAATATCTCTTAAAAATGATGATTAAAATAATATATCATTTTGTTCATTTAAATATTATTTGAAACAACCATATATTATTTAATCATGTTTTATTTGTTATTTATTCATTACAAATAAATGATTTTTTTAAATCATTTTATTATTTCGTTTTCAAATAATTCTTTTATTTTATTCTTTATTTGAATAATATCAAATAATTTCTCAAATATTTTTGAATTCTATTATATCTATTTTTGTGATGAGATTTTTTTCGTTTGCTATATTAATTAAATTATAAATTTGTTCTAAATGTCTTTTTAACAATGTAATTACATTGTAAAAGTTCTCAAATTTAAAGTTCAACAATTTATAATATTGGACAAATAAAACTTAATTCATTTAAATAAAATAATTAGTAATATACTTCGTAATAATAATCCGTTATTTCAAATTGTTATTTTTTATTTTACTTCAAATGAGTCTAATATTCGTATATCTAATATTTTTAGATTTTAATTACTTTTACATATGAATGACACTTGATGATTCAAAAGAAACTAGGCTATTTGTTTAGGCGCAAATGGCTATCAGAGGAATTAGTTACTTGCTGTTTCGAACGTTTTCAGTAACTAAGCGGTTGGAATCAGAGCTTTCTGCGCGCAGTTTAGCTGGTAGGACGAATCGTGGTAAGCCAAGAAACTTGGCGAAATAACTAATTGGAAACGGTACCACCGACACTATTTAGATCGATAAAGTTCTAGGATGCATATCGGTTTCGGAGCGCATCAATTCCAATTAGGTACCTCTCTCTACGATCTTTTACAGGATATCCTTTGCTATGATTAAATAAATCTATACATATATATTTCTTATTCATTGTTATGTAAAATAACAGAATTATGAAGAAACTAATAAAAAGATATATAAATGATTTTAAATATTACAAAAGAGAGAAATTATTGATAAAAATTTAAAGAAAATATTATATTCTTTTAAAATATTTTTATTTTTTTTTAAAAGAAATAACTTTTATAAAATTTTTAAGAAATTAATTTTAATTCTTTTTATCAATTTTAATGGTAAAAAATTAATTAAATTATAATTTTTTATTAATTTTTATAATTTAATATATTTTCCTACTAGGCTTT